AACTCCGCCCGTTCCGATGCAAGCTCCACCGCCCTACAGCTTCTACCTACCTTTCCACTGCCAGACCCTATTCACTTTTTCCCCGGTCTTCGGGATTTCCTGGAACCGAGTTTTAAGTTTGGTAGCAGACTCGCCCACTTCGGCGCGCGCCACGTCCGGCGGTAGCAGGTGACCTCTGTTCCTTTCTAGACTCTATCCACTTTTTCCCGGTCTCCGGGACTTCTTGGAACCGAGTTATAATGTTTGTGGATAACTCCGCCCACTTTTGTGCACGCCACGCCCACCATTAATTTAGCCTCCCCTCCTTTTCTGACCTCTATCCACCTTTTCCCGCTCTCTAAGACTTCTCGGAAGCAAATTATCGCCCATTGTAGGCGGACCTCCGCTCACGTCATGTATGCTGGGAACACCTTAGACATTGCTCCCTTACACCAATTTTTTCTGCTCTGTAGGCTTTCTCCCAACCGAGTTATGAAATTTTTCATAAGCACTGCTTTTTTGGAGAACGCCCCGCCCACCGAGGGTGGGTCTCCTTTCGATCTGGCTTACCAATGCACACCTTTACCCACTTTTGTCCCCAGTCTCGAGGCTGTTTTGTGACTGAATTTGAAATCATGGTCCTCAGTACCACTCATTTCGACGCACGCCACGCCCACTGTGGGCGGGGCTCCGCTTAGCTGATGTATGTTTTTTACTTCTCGAGATATGGTACACCCATCCCAAACTTGACCTGGACCCTGTAGGTTGTTGTTCGCTTAATACCGAATTTCGTGACAGACGGACAGACAGACACACACAGACTAGCGCATTATATATAGTAGGGATAATGCATAAATGAGTACAAAGGCTTTGCTAGACTCCCACGAAGTACCAGTGCGGCTCTAGAGAAGCCGCAGAAGGGGATGGAATCAATATTGATACATTACTCATCAATATTCCTCCTTTCAGCGATGGTTATACTGGTGATTTACACATATAACAAAGCTCTCAATCCGGACAATATTGGTACTCCGATTGCGGCCAGTTGCGGTGATGTACTTACAATTTTAGCTATGGTATGGCGCCACATTCATTTCAGCATCAGCGCCAAATCTAGCGCAAACTAGCCGGATAGAAACTAAATCCACTAGTTTCCTCGTGAATTGAGAGAGGTCTAGATTTGCTAAGTAGGGATGAGTAAAATTCGGCTCCATGGATGAAGTTTTCTCCCCCCCCCCCCCCCCCGTAAAATCGGATGTATGAATTATCTGCTGTAGAAAGAAGAGAGCTTAGGACCCGGCAATCCTAATAGTTCTTTAACAATGTAATAGCAGCTGTTGGGAATCCCGTTACCTATGACCGTGATTTAGTCATTCTTCCCATCTCCGAAGGGACACGAAAAACGTGAGCTGCCGCGTGCGGCTGCGTTGCAGCCCCATACCTCGAGCTTATGGTTAGCTCCAGATACCCACATATTATGCTGCCGAAGGTATAAAGTCGTCGTTCTTTGGACCGTGAAAAAGGTCTTGGTCGGACACGCGGGCGCCAGCGCTCGTATCGATCGATTCTCCATGCTTTTGCGCCGCATGCGTTGCCTAAAAATAAATCCTTACAAATCTCTTGATTCGGAACAAAAAATCAGTATTTGGTATCAGCGTCAAGAACATCATAGAATGACATACAATTTCGAATGGCGAAGCTCAGAACTAATTTTCCCTTGATCTTCAGCTGCGTATACGGTAGTCACGCTGATCTACCGTCGATGACTGCCGTCGAAAAAAGACGTGCCTCGTCGAGATTGAGGGACCGGCAAAAAGTCAGAGACCGTGCAATTGTGGAGAGAACAGACGGCTAAACGAGGGGCCGGGAGCATGCCATGATGTGGGCCAAATGATCACCACAATGCATCTGTAAGTAATTGAAACCAGATCAAAGAAAAAACCAGATTGAGGTTTAACTGTACAAAGCGTATATCAACGTGTAGAGTTTTTGACGCTGATTCCAATTGTAACAACCATTTTTTGATTAGAAACTTCTATAATCAATGAGGGATAAAAGTAGTTGTCGCAGTATCGCTTCTTGGTTGCCATTTGTTTGGTCAAGGTCTAATGGTAAGTGCGAACATAAGTACCATTAGGCCAAATCGTATTTGACTTGCCACCACACTACTGAATGGAAGCATGCATGGTGCATCCCAAAAAGGATTCGAACAGCGCCGATAGCTATATACCCTCCCCTTCAAAAAGCGAGAAAGTGTCGGGTGCAGACCATACACCACAAGTGACGACGGCCTCCACAAAATGTAAATGTTTTCTGCCAATGAAATGATTAGCCTGTTGCAGTTGTATTCTATCAGTTGTCACTAATTACAACTATCATTTACCAAAATCAGCTATCACTATGAACCACTACTAACCAGATTTACTTGGAGGCCGTCGTCAGTTGTGGTGTTTGGTCTGCACCCGACACTTTCTGGCTTTTTGAAGGGGAGGGTATGAAGGCATAAGATGTTGGCAGCAATGGGTGCTTGACCAGAAATGAAATTGAAAGTTCAAGAAATCGCAGTCGCTTCTGAGGATGATGGCTCGCTGACTGAGTGAATTTAACTATGACGAGCTACATATGCACTTCCAGCCAATTTTAGCAAAATAGGGGGTGCGGACAGTAATTGTCAAATTGCTATCACGCATGGCATCATATGAACTATCTGAAGGTATCACCAAGAACCAAAATAGGTATAAATGCGAAGCAAGTATAATATAATTAAGTTCCAACGTGAAGCAGCCTTTTGAGCCTGGAAAGGGGATCGTTTATACAGAATTCGGCGCTATCGCAAGATACGGACATATTGGATCGGCAACACATTCAAAATTGCGTCAATCATTGTTTTGTTTTGTTATAGGCGGGACTAACCACCCGATATCCCTCAACGGGAGGAGAGCGAGGGAGAGACTCCCCAGGGAGGCATTCAACTTCCCATGGAACTTTGAATTGAGACCTGAATCTAACGAGCTTCAAACTGATTACAAATATGGAATCTTAAACTGCAAAATGGACCTGCCAAAGAAGTTGTGAGCAGTAAAGCTGGTAGCCAAAGAAGTTATGAGCAGTAAAGCTGGTACCAAAGCCTAACATATGAGTTGTGCTAGCGTGCGGGCATTCACTGGAG